GCGCAGACTTTATGTGATGAGAAAAGTGTAAGGCAGGAGACTGCCAACCTACTGAGAAGCACTAAGTAAACGGCACTATTCGTTTTCCTTTTTCGTCATTATTATTATTATAATTATCATTCTTAATGCGAATATTTTCACTCAATTTATTTGTATATTCATATTCATATTGAACAGTATTATCAGTGTGAATGCCGAGTTTAAATCATCGTCCCTGTGATGAGAATTTCAGATGCATTACTGCACTACATGCTGAAAATTTCATATTTGTACCAAAATACTGTTTGGAATCAAGCAGTCATTATCATTATTATTGTTATTATTGAATTCATTCCCCTACTGGTTGAAACACCGTCACCAACGAAGCTTTCTTCCACCTTTTCACAGATAGATAAATTTCCTCAAGCTATACACCACGACAAGTATTCTAAGATAATCTGATAACCTGTTCAACAATGGCTGAATAACTAGGCTTGTCTTTTACGAATCGCGAATTCCAAGATTTCTGCACGTCTTAGCGCAATTTTCGCATGTGAAATACTGTTGACACCAGTGATCCTGAAATCTTACACTATTCATCACCTCCCTTATACACATTGAGTTCATTATTCTAGAGATTCATTTACCCTTCTATTCATCTGGAGTGGTAACGCATTTTCTTTTTCTAGAAGAACAAACTAATTCAATAATTCGACTCATTTAGTAAAGAGCGGAACTAAATTTTAATCATAATGTTGTTTTATTTTACATCAAACAGATTTGTCAGTGATGAATGATTCTGGGTTATTCAACTCTCTAGGCTAAGGAAATTCATCGTCACAAAATCCCTACTCCACTTAATATCTTTCTAACCACTTTTCTTTCCAATTAACACATTTGTAGTTGAATTAACCTCTAATTGCATTAAATTTGTGTGTAGAACGCTGTCGTACATGCATATTAACCAATTATGTGGAAGTCAACTCCTCTCATGTGCCTTAGACATATTGACAGACATTTGCGATTGTGAAGACTTTTCGCCTGAACGTATACTGAAAGAGTACTTCATAAATAATGAGAAGAATATGACAAGTAGTTCAGCGAAGAATTGAGTGAATGCTCTGAGAATAGCCTGTTCACTGACCTGCTTGTTTTGTTCTTCTCATTATTGTGTGGATGAAAATTATTCATAATTAATGGGGCAATGTTTTGCAAGACATAACTCAGGGGGAAATACTGTTTTTCTGCTGCAGAAATATCACAAATATTCTGGGAAGTATTTAGAAGAATTTAGCTAGCATTACTCTGCAGAGAGATGCGAGATTGTCCCTTGCAAGGAAAATGTATTGATTTTCAAGTGTTGGTTTGCAGGTATCTGATTGATTTCAAGTAAGATCATGAAGTCATGTATGTTGGAGAACAACGTTGAACGAGGAAGTATTGGACACCTGTTTCGTCCTATCTTTTGACTCTTCACAGTGCTCACTTGTGACTTTTGGTTTAGGAAAAGACCCATTTTTGTTCTTAAATTGGATATCACTCAGATGCCATGAATAACTGGTCTCATTGCATTTAACTGCATATAGAGATATATAAACATATTTGTATCAAAGTTTACTCTTTGAAGGATGTTTCGTCAGCTGTACTGTGTGACGCAGAAATGATTTTCTTGCAGTGAAAGCACAATGTGTCCGTTTTGGTCGTCACATATAAATACAATTAATATTAGTTTACTACGAAATTTTGTATCCTACTGACTGTAGAATAAGGAACAATCCTGCGATTTATTTACGCTAAATTGTTGTGATAATTTTCTTTGAATTAAATAAGAGTGCTTATAACTGAATGCAATTTGGATAATAAAAGGCTAATAAACCCTAAGAGGAAATTTGCAGAGGTATATTATTTTTTTTCTTTAGGTTGTTTCACTTGGTTTCGCTTTAAAGTGAAGCGAATTCACTCACATTTGCATAAGGAAGTGTAATTAATTTTCTCTACTGTTTTGGCCAGAAACGTTTTTGTTTACTTCATTTACTTCTGAAAGCTTATTTTTACGACTTTGAGAAAAAAGATAGAACAAATAAGATTTGAAAAAAAAAATAAGCAGATGCGTGACATTTTATACTAATTTAAATGATACGCTTTCCGTTGTACCGAAGAGGGTTTTTTTGGAATTGACTGTATGCCGTGATTCTCATTACGAATTTCACTTGGTACATTTAACTCATTGCTTGTTTTTATCAACTATAGCTTGATTCCACACCGTATTTTTGGTACAGGTATGAAACTTTCTCCATGTAATATGGATAGCCTAAATTTTGCAGGTCGACCAATTGATATCAGGTGTGCGTCGGCAGTGGATCGAAATCCGGAGCAGTAACATGGTCGGTGAGAATCCTAGCCGCTGTGCCACCGAGCCACGTTTCATCTGAGTTCTTTTCAAGTGAACACAAATCGTCGCGACCGTTTCGAATACAACAATTTGGGCCCAAGAAAAGCCACTTCATAGATGGTTTTCTCACGATTAAGTTTTTGACGAATTTGTTCATCAATGTTTACGTTTACAAATTAGGAAGTCATATTTAATGATGACTGTTTTACATAAGATCAAGGCTCGCAATTATAAAGATACAACTGCTCACTTGAGCTGCCACTCCATATATACACATATCATTTAAGAGTTAAACAAATGGTATCTGTAGTAGCTCTTGCATGAAGGCATTAATTTTGAAGGAATAATAATATTTTTATTTTTTTTTATTTTTTTTAATTTTGATTTACAGCTTCATTCCACACCGTATTTTCAGTACAAGTGTGGAATTTTCAGCATGGATATCGGTAGCCCGAATTCAGGCTGACCATAGATATCGGGTGTGCGCCGGCAGGGGATCGAACCCCGGACCATGCAAATGGTCCGGGGTTCGATCCCCTGCATGTATTTTCTGAGAAGAAAATAATAAAATACAAACAAGATGAAATTAGTCGTTACGCATTGAAAGTAAACTGAGATTCGCAGTTCAGTTTATATATTATCTCAACAAACAAGTTTTGTTGTTTGTAACTTTAAATGACCTCAGTTTATCTGTATGCTATGATTTTAAACAAATCTGTGTTCCGCTGTATTAAGAATGAATTAGTTCACTTTTTATTATGATATTTATTGTTTATTATTCCATATAATTTATGTCGTTATTAAAAGCCAGGTCGATTTTTACATACTATTAACATTTGGAGAACAAATAGCTACCTATCATTGATTCTATTCGAGTCTGTTTTGTTTTGCTTTTTAGTTTCTCTAACCTTCGTAAGTTGCAGCATAGTGTAACAGATAGCCAACAGAAATAAGTAAGAGAAATAATATTTTTCCAGTTTAGATTTATTCACAATAGAATGTTTAGAAAAGTTAAACAGCAAGTTAAACAGACAATCGTTTATAAGTCAAATCCATATCGTTAATGGGGTTAAATCTTTTCCCATATCACTTTGCATGGTGGAAAAACAGAAAAAAAAATTATGAAGCCAGTTTAATGAAAACAATGAAGTTATGTCGCCTTAAACGATACTAAATTCATCCTAGTAAATGTGTGTTTTCTGATTTTATGTTTTCCTCAAAGCGAGAATTGAGTATAACAATAGTGGAAAGTTGCTTTAAAGACTGATTATATCTACAAGTTTACATCATTACAGCAGACATACACCCATGTGATGTAACGTGGAGATAGTGACTAGAGTAGATGGGAACGTTTAAAAGGAAGACAGTCAATTTGGGCTTGTCCATTATGTAACAATCAAAATAATTACCTGTGTATTTCTACAGTTATCCAAAGTAAATACTATTTAGAAGGTAGAAACTTATAAAAACAAGTGTCATTTCCATCAAGTGTTTTGCGGTGAACAAACATTTCAGTTTTCTACAATCGATTTATAAGGATTAGTTTTGTTTTTACGAGTTGATCCCGGAATGATATCAGTTAGAGAACCATTGAAAACCAGAGAGTACTGGACAGCTGTTTTATCCTAGTTTGGGAATCATTGGCAGTACGCACCCACTGCCAGGGTTCGCGTCCCGGTGGCTGAATGGTATATGAGCTTACCTTGTAACCGGAAGGTCCTGAGTTCGAATCTTAATGGGTGCGTACTGCCGATGATTCCCAAAACAGGATGAAACAGCTGCCCAGTACTCTCTGATTTTCACTGGTTCTCCAACTGATATCGATCCGTGATCAACTCGTAAAAACATTTCAGTTTCATTTCTTTTCTGAAATTATTTTGAAACTGTAGTTTCATCCTAGCATTTGTGATCACAGTTTGTTTTATACCGCATAATTTAGTAGATTAGAATATTTGAGTGTGTCGAGAATTATTACTAAATAATATCGCTACCGATTCGCAGTCTAATTATTCCCGAGAATTAACAAACTTCCTTTGAAGCTAAATTTCGTATTTTTGATAAAAACCCTTGATCCATTGTAGACAGAAAATTTGCTAGTTGTTTTAGCTTGAAGTCCTAAAATTGACATAGGTGCACATAAGCTACTGCTTGATGTATTAACTTAATTGCTTTAGAAGTGGTTTAAATAATGATCAGAGAAGCGTCGAAATTGTACCGAGTGCAATTAACACCTCGGAGACATTAGTTTTTCCTTTAATAAATTAACGATATCTTTTTATACATTACGCTTTAATTGATGTTTCAGAGTTCCAAAATAAATTTTCTTTTCTTCCTCCTAAGTGTTCCAGCATCTGTTAAATGACAGTATGAAAATTAAAGTTTACGCTACTGTCAATCAAGACATCTGAATTAAAGCAGCAATTAGACAAAATATATTCCCATATTCTAAGAAACTTAGTAAGTCTGTCAACTAAACCCCTGAGATCCTCTTGTGTTTATTAGCACAGTAATATCAGGTGTGTTTGCAAGCCACATACGCATATATGTTGAGCTCTCCTATCATTATTGGTAATGCGATTTATAAAAAAGTGGTTTGAACATATCAAAACAAAAGTATAATGTTTTGCATATGTTAATTACTTTTTGTAGTCAAATAGCGTAGAACAAAACCACATGTAATGAAAAATACTGTCAAGAGAAAAAAGTTTATATAGATGTGCTCTTGTGATCTTGTGCGTGCAGCTGACAAACAACATGACGGCGACAATTTTTTTTTACAGATAAATCGTCACAATGACACTACTGGAAAAAAACTGTAAATGATTGAGTGAAATAGTGAAAGAATCAAATATCTTTGATGTTCAATGGAAATGTAATCAGTTCTGTATGTCTGTCATAGTTTTTCCGCGTCAATGAGTTTATTCTCACAAGACAGGAAAAAATAAATTGAAGTGTGTGTGTGATTTTTTCTATGCAGATTACATATGAATAGTATTCATTAGATTAGACGAAAAACTCGATACGAAAGCGTAGATGCCATCAAAAATGATTCATAAATAAGTTGACTGAACACAAACGACGTTGAACAATAAACAATCCATAAATTGATGAGTTTAACAGGTTGAAATAAATGAGTTGTATTCATTTGTATCATTCCACACCTAACCACTGATAAATACGAGTTCCGTTACGTGATCCAGCGTCACTCCAAAATGCATAACCTTGACTAGAATGACATGATGCTGGTCTATTAAAATCTTTTACAGAATCACTCTGAAAACCATAATCACCGAAATGACACTCACCAATGGCATTCAAGGCGCGCATATTCGTAATACCCATTTGTTTAAGTTGATTTGCACATTCATAAGGTATTAAATCGGAAATCGGCAGTTTACTTGTAACATAAATTATAATACCGTGTTTCACTGTTAAATGTTTGGCAAATGACTTTTTCACGAATGGTAAATTAAATTGAACAGAGCAATCGCTCAATGTGAAACAGTTAGAATTCTTTTTCTCTCCAGTCTTTTGTTCAATGATTTTACTCTCTAGCAAACTGTGACCATCTGTTTGATACGTTTTTGAAGATCGATGCACAGGATAATGAACTGTTGTTGCTTTGACTGCTTTCATTATACGACCAGCATGAACTAGACAAGCATGCAGTGTTATTTCATCTGTGACAAGAAAAATATTTACCAAAATGTCATTATATTCAGTTTTAGTTTATTTTCGGAAAATAAGAATTTTAATAGCCTAATTAAAATATAGCTGAATACTCCCAGGGGGCTAATTATCCCTTCAGGCCAACAACACCAAGAAAGTACACTAAAAACACAGATAGGTATAGAGATTTTAAATAATTTACTGAAAACCAAATGGTCTTCGATTAACTAGGTAGTTGGTTTCATGCCTGCTACTAAATCATAATTTACACCTGCCACTTCTACACTCCACATCTTTCACTCTCTTCAGTCACGGCATTCTGTGGGATATTACCGGGTCTTCATTGATGTGTATTTCATCCCAGCATTCTAATCTCCAATGGGATCTGAGAACTTTTTAAGTCATTAGTGTATCAACTCAGGGACAGTTTGAGTCAGTAGCGTCCATGAAGACACTGATTAAGTGACAGATTCATGAAAAACATTTTTATTTTATATTGTATGTGTATTCAATCGTGTAAACCTTGTTCAGTGCAAGTTATTGAAGAGTGTTTCATATTCAGGTGTTCGTTTGCAAGAATTTGATTAGTTACAGTATTCCATTATTAAATGACGTAGGTTAGAGGACCACTGGAAAATCTGCGAGCACTGGACAACCAGCTGTCTCGTCTTAGTTCAGGACTCTTCATCAGTACACACTCACCACTAGGCTTCGAAACCAAGACCTCCTGGTTACAAGGCGAGCTCGTAGACCATTAAGCCACTGGAACCCGATGTCATGGTCCATGAATTCAAATTGCTGTCAATACACGATATATCCAAACTGGCACTAGCCAGTGTCACTCGTGACGAGTATTTGTCCTCCCACCTGACCTATTGTACCCCACTGGTCATGACTTCCCACTAGAACCCAGGTAGCTACCTACCTGAATAGTGCCAGTCACTAGTGAGCATCAGATTGTTGTTCAACTGTTGGCTTGTGAGGATTTGATTGTTTTCAGGATTTAATAATGAGCCGAAAGAAAATGACTAAAATTTAGGTATACTTTGTTGAACGGTATAACATTACTTTCCGTAACACGCTGGAAACCGCTTTATCACCTTCCTATGCTGAATGATAATTCAGTTAGTCTAAATGAGTACTTGTATTTTTTTTAAACGTATGATTAAGACGAATGTAATTTATAATTATATAAAGTTAAACATATGAGAGTTGATTAGACTGCTCCATATGGCAAAGTATTAAACCAGCTGTTTCATTTATTTACACATAGCTGGTTTTTACAACCCGAGTAATAATTAAATGATGATGTATTAAAGAATTGTTTGTTCTTTGTAGAAATAAACTGGTAGGCACTAGCAGTAAAGAATCCACCCTTTCTAAATGTAGTCAAAGCTTATTTATTTCCTAGTCTTTACTACCGTCATAAATATCACTTTCTGATTTAAAAGATTCCTTAACTCGGATTAACGAATGCATAGGCGCGTGTTGACAGACAGTCCACCACATACTGTTAGCACACTGTGTTTTGAAAATGTTTCGTGAACAACTATATCTAGACAACAAAGAGATTTCTACCTCCTGCTTGGAATAGCGACTAATACAAACTCCTGACACCTAAATGAGTCATTTCAACTGTTTAAATATTACACATTTCATTTCAGTCATTTGTTTTTTCAATGTTTTGTACATTGTTTGTTTTCTCCAACCAGCCTACGCATCAGACATTTCTCCTGATGCCAATTGGACATTATTTTAAACTACAAAAGGATATGCGTAAACAACAAATCAGAAAAAAGTAGACATTGTAATAACTAAATAGCTTGTAGCAAGAATCTTCAAAAGGATCAATAAGCTAAGATACTCAGTATGTTAAAAATATTCATGATGGATAATGTGTAGAAGTGAAACTTTAGGTTTAATAGACAGTAGTTTTTGACTAAATAGGATACATCTATTCAGGACGAATATTCAGTTTTAGTATATTTGGAGCCGGAAAATATTTTGAACGCTTAAGCTAAATTTCTATTGCTTTTTGGTTAATAGCAGATTTTTTTGGAATTTTCAGCAACAATCTTTGAGACGACCATTGTGCATGTCTCCTCGAATCAGATAGTAATTTCCACATTTAAGGAATGATTTTTTTCTTAATAAGATCTTGTTGAAACTTTCCACTGGCGCTCTGGTTTACACAACTCTTTCAAATTACATTTAATATTAAGTCAGAATGGACCGCTGAGGAGCATTACATAGTAGTTCTTCCTAGGCTGTTGAATAACAGTGTATCAGACCGGTTCCCAAACAGTTTGGAATTCTATTCTGTATAAAATCATGAGCTTACAAGCCAAGTGTTTGCAGTGCGAATAAGGCTGTTGCTCAGCGGTTTAGACGTATGACTGTTTTTCTGTTTATAGATTTCATCACATCAAACTATTGGAAAACCAGGGGATACTGAACCAACAGCTTCAGCCTGGAACTCTTCGGCAGCACCCTTTCGTTGGGGCTCAAACTCAGGACCTTCCGATTACAAGGCGAACTTGTAGACCATTTGGTCACTGCTACCTGAACCAACGGCCCATAAATTCCAACTTATATCAATTTGCGATATATAGCGCTACCAAAATCCAGTTGCACAGGCCAGCAACTGTTGTCTGACCTGACTTGGTGGACCCTATTGGTAGTGACTACAGGTATTTCCTGTGTACAGCCTGTCGCTAGTGAGCATCAGAATAATTTTCAGATGGTGATCTGGGGGAATCTGATTGGTTAATGGTTTGGTCACGAGCTGACATAAATTTACGTTGGAGACGAGTTTTGAAGTTATTGACTTCTTTATTACTCTTTGTATTAACTACGCAAAAGTGATTGATTTGTTTCTTAGGGCTTTCTTGGTAACTTCAATAGAAAAACCTTTTCCATTCCTTATAAACATATATAATTGTAAAGAATGGGGACAACACGTTTTCAAGTATTGGTTTTGTAGGGAATTTTGTTTGATTGCATGGAGGATTTCATCATGAGCTGACTTCAGTTAGAGAACCACTGGAAAAACACCTGGGAGTACTGGACAGCTCTTCCATCCTAGTTTGGGACTCTTCCACAGTACGCATCCACCGGAGTTCGAACCCAGGACCTTCTGGTTACAAGGCAAGCTCGTAGACCATTGAGCCACTGGGACCCGATCCAATGGCCAGTCCATGAATTCTAACTCCTGTCAATTCACGCCGTAGCGCGACCATTTCGCAATGTCTTCTTCAATGAGTTACTGCCTCATCTTCAACCTGCTGTACCCTACTGGTCACGGCTTCCCACCAGAACCCCAGGTTAATTGCTTGAATAGGGCCAGTCGCTAGTGAGCATCAGATTAATTTTCAAATATTGGTTTTGAAGGGGATTTTTTTGATTGCATGGAGGATTTCATCATGATCTGACATCAGTTTTCTCAACAGAGCACCTTTGTCGCTTATACAATACTGCACGTTATCGAATATTTTCTGTTGCTCAGTAGTTACAACGCTATGAAAGCAGTTTCGTGAAATTGTTACGCTTTAATAGTAAGCAGTTAAAGGTTTCAACTTACAGGTTGAAATAACCAAAGCATTAATCGCATAAATAGTGAGCAGAATACATTCTAAATAAGCTACTTACAAGATCGATTATTTAATAATGCATTCAAATTTTCAATTCTCCACCTTCCATAAGATGTGAACTTCAAGTTCCTCATCTCGTGTATTCTGATGTTGACGAAGCCTTTGTTTTGATTACGACATAATGAAATCAGCATATCTCCTGACAAGCGGATCACCTATGAACATAGAATAAATTATTTCGTTTAGGTGTTTTATAAATAAAAACATTTAGCTGATTAACAATCGTTACTGTGGCAAAAAATAGTTAGATTTTACAACCTTTGTTAAAAGACTTGTAAACACCTTAAGCTGAGTTCACTAAAACGTAAATGAAAAAAGGCCTGAAGACTGCAATACACCGAAAAGGGTGAGTGAATAATTTTCTCCTTGATAACGGGTAAATAAAATGCTAGTTAGTGTCAAGTCTATACACAACTTTCACATTCTATTTCATTTAGCTGAAATACTAATGCTACTCCACATAATGTTTTATTACAGAAGTCACAGCAAATACCCTAGTTCACTCACTGCCTTAAATATTACAAGAATAAGTATATGAAATCTTTTACTGAGTGAAAATTGGTTTCTTTCATTCAACTGTAAATTATTTCATGATAGTTTATTTTCATTAAAAATTACAATTAACATCTATTACTACAGCATTATCACATAATGAAAAAATGATTTCTTAATCACACTTTTATTATAAAGATTAGGTTACATCAACTAATATGTCATTGCACCAACTGATATAGAAGTATTTTTACATCTCAGGTGTAAATTTTAATTTACGCTGTTTATCGACCGCTCGATTTAAATACTACGATAAAAGATGGGTACTTGATGAAACCTAATAGATTTTAGTAATGGCCTGTGAAATGGAAGAAACAACAAGTGCGCTATGGGCAGCTTTGTTTCAATTGCTATGAAGTTTCATTTAGATTTTTTGGCGTGTAATTCTTTGTAGGCATATATAGTAAATACTAAAGTTGATTTCTTCCAGTTGGTTATATTCATCTTACTTATGAAATCCTAAAGTCAAACATACTCCAAACCTATGGTCAGTAACCAGAATTTTACACTATCTCTCTACATATACATCAAGATGTCTTAATGAAAATGTTGCTAACGCGGTTAGCGTTAGAGCTCTATGCATAACACTTGTCTTCTTGTAGCGGAAGTATCGAGAAACTGACTCGACATAATAAGAATATCGATTAATTTTTATTGCTCATACATTTTCAAACCTTCTTCACAGAATATCGTATAACTGAAATAATGAATGGATTAATACTTTTAAAAATTCTATTTACCAACTTTTCATGTGCTTTTCATGACTTTGACTATATATACAGATAACTGTAGGTAAACAGCTTCGCTTCATCAACTTATTCACAAATCATTTCATTAGACTGAAGCAATGCATGAAGTGATTCACTTGATGATTAAATTATTATTATCGTTCGTATGCAAGTGTGTGTGTTGTGATCGTTTCGAGATATTATTGTTGTTTTTGATAAGTATGAAAAGTTTATTGACAATGGGAAAATAGAAAGATTATCTAGTCGTTCTGTTTTGTTTACAATAGGTTTTACCAGTTAGAAATGTAATATATGCCTAATAATATATAGATGAAAACCTTTTATCTTTACTGATATCATGATCATAAAATACAAATATATTATCTTTTGTTTTGTTCATTTGGATATTTTTCAGGATATTATTCATCCAAAATACTAGAGGAACAGCATAACTGATATGGAAACATGCACAAATATATGAGTATTTAAACCAGTAAAGTATATAGTAAGCTGAAATATTCACCTTTTAGAAGTCCGTGTATATAGTATGGATGGAATATTAAGTGTTTTGTTTGTACATAATCCGTTCCAAATGTAATTATTGACAGCTTCATAGGGTATATATATATAACTTTGTCAACTGGAAAGGAGATTTTCTGTTATGTACTATTAATAATCATTCACAAATGAGTAACTTGCTTAGAGGATTGTTTCAGTCAAGCAAAAACAAAAAATGGTAGTTAACAACTGCCCCTCAGCAGCGTTAAAGCACGTGATGCTTATATGTGTGAAATGTTAATAAGTCGATGCAGACCAAAAGCAATATATATATTTAAACTATTATTTTGTTTTTAAGAATCTCTAACATTCCATTTTGAATTTTACAATTATTTTTACGTGTTAGCTATACTGTGTGTTTAGTTCCCTCTGAGATCAATTTTTATTTTCAAGTATTGGTTTCGTAAGGATTTTTGTTTGATTGGTTGGAGGATTTCATCATGAGCTGACATCAGTTAGAAAACCACTGGAAAACCAGCTGGGAATACTGGACAGCCGTTTTGTCCTAGTTTGGGACTCTTCAGCAGTGTGAATTGGCAGAAGTTAGAATTCAGGGACTGGCCATTGGATCGGGTCCCAGTGGCTCAATGGTCTACCAGCTCGCCTTGTAACCAGAAGGTCCTGAGTTCGAACTCCGGTGGGTGCGTACTGTGAAGAGTCCCAAATTAAGACGAAACAGCTGTCCAGTACTCCCAGGTTTTCCAGTGGTTCTCTAACTGAAGTCAGCTCATGATGAAATCCTCCATGCGATCAATTTTTATTTACTTACTAAATTTATGGATAAGACTACTTTAAATAGCATTAAGTTAGTGGGAGATGAATGGCGACAAAAAGAGGAAATTGACTTTGAAGTGGGATTGCTGACCGGACTGTTAGACTACTAAATTTGTTGGGATAGGCGATTGTTGTCTGGGTTCGCCTTCATTTTGCTCACATTTTATATGTTCAGCAAGTTCAGGCGTTATAATGTCTTTGATCTATGCGGCCTGATTCTAATAAAACTCATGGTGTGTTGAATACAATTACTGTGATCATTAGGGTCTGTCATTTTATTTAGAATTGTAATCAATATAAGCTATAAATTGAACGAAGCAAGAACAATCTTATTTACAGGAATTTTATTGACGTTGTAACTTATATTTTTATATTGTTTGGGATGAATGCAACTGAAAAGAATCCACGAAATAAAGCGAGTTCTTATAATCGAGTGAATACGTTCGTTCTTGCTTTATTCGAACTAATACAAGTAACCAGTTATAAGCTATAATAGCCTTTCAGTCAGTTGGGTATTTCTTCGTGTTCTACCGCCACCTAATTAAGAGTTTAGTGTGATATTTTAGACTATGAGATACTACTTTTATCGAAGATGGTATTTTAAATTGTTTTCATTGAAATAACGAGGAACGATGTTCTTCCATAATTTTGATTTAAATTATGTTATATCTGAGCAATACTTTGATGAAATAGAAAGCTAGTTAATCACTAATGTTTGACAGTAAACAGTGAGAAATTTAAAGTTCTTAAGATGACGAAATTTGGTATTTTCTCGATAATAATAATAAGCAAATAATATCGGAAAATATTAATATCTAACTTACTGGATAGGCTTCTTCAACTAGACACCAGCCAACATGTTCGAAATCTCCCTGACTAACAGGAAGTTCTTGAGTTGACATACTACAAGAGCCATGATAATATTCCTTATCACCTGACCACTTCGGAATCGATTCGAAAATTTTCATTTGAATGTGTATCTTTGGTATTTCTGTGTCATTCACTGCAGGCGCCATTGAACTCTTTCGAACAGGTATATTCATTGAAACTTCATTGTTGTTTAAAAACTGTGGACAACCAAATTCTGTTTCTTTACTGTGAATGGTAAACATCTGAGAATGATCTTTAGTTGAAATGATACACTGAACACTAAATGTTGTTTTATGCCATAATCGAGGTGATAATAGATTTTTTGCTGTATGCAATGTGACAAACACTCGACTTTCATTTTTACTTATTTCCGATAAATACTTAACACCAACAGCCATAATTCCAGCGGGATATTGCATCCAGTCGTAAGTTATAACTGGTGGAAGTCGTTTAGCTAAGCTGTTGATTTGATCAATATTTGTGTTTTGCAATAAAGACTCATCTGCGTGTACAACATTTGAAAGTGATGCAGAGCTCCCCATTGGAGGTGTTTGTCGAGCAGTATAATAAATACTCTTGTAATCTTCTCCAGTCACTAGATCTTCGGTACCTGTTTTTCCCAAGACTGTAGCATAAGACAAGAAACTATTTCGTCGAATAACTCTGGGGTCATCTAATGCCATTACCGAAGTACTCAGGAAGCCTGTTTCATCTGTTTTCACATTTACAGTGTCATCAGTATCAGACTGAGTATCAGTTATAGTTATAGAAATCGGTGCATAAGACACCTTTCTAGTTTTCGCTGAACGACTGTCGAGTAGTTCATAGTCTGTTGCTGAAGCTCTTCGTGCCATAAGAGGAACGGATAAACAGTTTTCATCCGATGGCGGACAAAAGTATTTTGAATCCTCCGTTGATACAGATGTCTGACGGCTACAGATATGGTCATAATTTGATGGACGTGGGAGGTCTGAAAGAATGACAGGAATATCCTGTTGTTCTACCTTCTCTATTGATGGGAATTTCATCGTTTCATAGTGGCTTTTATCACTGCCTGCTAAATGTGAATGTTGAATTGAGAGGTTGCTTCTTGACAAAGTATTTGTATCAGACAACCTAGAACCTCTCCGCTGCTCAGAAAATATAAATCCATCAAGCATTGATTTTTTTCGGTATTGGTTTTGGTGAGAATGTAGGGGTAGATTTATGCAACTCGCTTTCCTGTATTTGTCTCTATGCAAAGACGTTGTGGTTCCGTAGAGTTTTTCTGGTTGAAAGCGTAATGGTAGTGATGGTGGTTCACAGGTCTTTTCAAATGACTTTTGGATTGATGTTTTCGTTGTCTTTGAAGAAGTTTCGTCATCATTTCCAAAGTTTATTGCAAGTGCTTCAACAACAACATACATATAGTTGAGTATATGATCCTTTACTCCAAACTTTGGTCTAGAAGATGATGAGTCTAAACGTCTGTGGAAAGAACGCCTTCGTCGTAGGAACCAGGTTGTGTGTGTTAGAGCAGTGGCTAGTAGAATCAAAACTACTGAGCATAGTAGAATAGCTCCCAATACAAAGAGTAGAATTTTAATCACTGAACTTGTGACCACCGTTTTTTCTTGTCCGTCCCCTGTGATAGTTTCCATTGTAGTGATGTGAACATTTAAAGATTTTTGTGCTGGTGGCATGGTCTACAGTGTATTTACAAAAAGTACGGTTAAATATGTGTAAAATAATAACATTTTAAACATATTTTTCATATTATTGGTTAGGACTACAATTTACAGGGAGAATCAAAACTCGTTTCTTACTCCATCTTTAAATTAGCTGAAAAAACAACTTTTTTCCGTCGTATAAAGTACGTTGTACTGAAAAAAGTTCTGCTGTTTATCTCTTAGTCCATTACTGGATATGATTCATCACTTTCAGAATATACGACTTACGTTTATTGTAGTATAAGTTATTACAGAAACTAACAAGTGGTAATCAGACACCTACTTAATTTGTCTTATGAAGCAGGCACTTCATTTGTTACAACCAATCAAAGTATTGGTGAAAGTGATCAAATAATAAACTATAAAGGCACTTATTAAAGACATGTATAAAGCATATTAACCAGGATATACTAAAGAATCGGACTGGTATACAAAATACAGCTGGATTTCAAACTATTAGTGTGCTAATAATTGTGATATCTGTAACCCTTAGAAACCAAACTATAGAAAATTAATCTGATGCTCGCTAGTGACTTGCTACAGGATGGAGTTTCCTGGAATTCTAGTGAGAAGTCGTGGCCAGTGAGGTTCAACCAGATGTCACGTGTGAGGATGGATGTCCCACCAACGACAATGGTTGGGGTCGCGCTAAATCACGAATTGGTAGAAGTTGGAATTCATGCACTGGCCATTGAGGAATCGGGTCCCAGTGGCTGAATGGTATACGAGCTTGCTTTGTAACCGGAAGGTCCTGGGTTCGAACCCTGGCAGTGGGTGCGTACTGCCGATGATTCCCAAACTAGGATGAAACGGCTGTCCAGTACTCCCAGCTTTTCCAGTGGTTCTCTAACTGATATGAATCCGTGATCAACCCGTAAAAAAATCTGTAACAAGCAGATTCATATAAAATGATAATTGCACAATGATTTCTACTGAAAAACATAAACACGGTAGGATACCGTATCATAATCCTTGTGTTATGGTGGATAAGAGGAGTATATGGTCTTAACTGCTTCAGTTATAATCAGTCTGCTAACAACGGTGCATAATTTCCATCTTGAGGTCAAGCTTTGACAGAATGTGATGTACGAATTTCTTTTAAATCTATCGTTTTAGGGAAAAATGATATATTCATATGCATAAACACACATACATATTATATTATTACCCATATAGTACCATTTTTTCATTACATATAATGTATACACACATATGTCTATATATATATATATATATATATAGGCTTAAACGGAAATTGGGGCAGTTACTATAGTAACATTTCGGTTCTGGAGACAATATCTGAATATTTGAAAATTCTTTACCCTGTTCGACTATAAAGCTTAAACAAAATTTGCATATATTTTCTATTAACGTGACATAATAAAAATAGCCGGAATAATTATATGAAAAGCACCTATTTCTTTTGATGTTTGTGAATTAATTTTTTACGATGAACTTAACTGTGAGTTGAGTGTGAACGCATACATTACTGAAAGAATAAATTGCTTAACTCTCAAAAAGAAACACCATCAGCATAATGGTACGAAGGAAATCCGTGGTTCAAGGACACCAACTGCAGCTAATCTTTCATGCATACTGCTATACAACTACACCAATTGTTGTTATCATTTCCAACTAGTTCTTACAGTCTTCAAAGTCTTACAGTCTTTCTACAGATGCATTAGATATTTTATAGTCTGTATTGATCACGCTGGAACTGAAAAGTATTCGTGTATGATTCCAAATTGATTTTCGACTTATAAGTCCACAAATCAAATAAGTCGACTTGCTTCGAATTTTCGAATTCAAGCAAGTATCTCTACATTTTGCGCATGTTTCAAATCACTCTACCTAATTTAAGAATTTGAAATTTGGAATACCTACTGACCTAGAAGTGCTTTTAAGTATTACTTTTAGTTTTTAATTTTTTCTCACTGAAATTCACTATATTTATGTAAACCTGATTTCATGCAAAGAAAAGCTTATAACTGATGTGGATCCATTTGCTTATTAGAACATAGGTCGCTTCTGTTTATGCGCTGCTACAGCAGATAAACATGTAATTATAGTTTTAAAAATTAGGAATCAGAGTGATCGCTTTCAAAAATAAACATCCATCAACGTATTCATTCATTCATTCAGTTAGTTAGGTAGTTCAGAAAGATCCATCAACATGAAATTTTCTTCTTTCTTCCTTTAAATACCTATGAAGTTAGAGCAGTGCTTTCATTTTACAAAAAAGGAATCATTCACTAATCATTAGAGTACATCATAACACGTTTGGCTATTGAATGAATGCATACATCAAAAAGAGAAATAGTTTAATCAGTGACGGTTAATTTCTCCGTGCAAGTGAGGAATATTGATAGTGAAATTTGGAAATTTACTTCATCAGTGACGCTACGAACTTTCATCGTTTGTAATATTCAAAATGAATGTTATTCATGTTTCATAACCGTTTTTCCTGACAAGCCAGATCCTTTAGAGTGCGGTTAGGCTAAAAAATAGTAAACGGTAGTCTGATAAATAGACGAAATTTGCGCATGTTTTGCATGTAATACGGTAAGCAAAGTACGTTGTTATGTGCTAAAATTAATCGGATTCATCACAATGTCAGGAATATCAAAATATTTAGAAAAAATTATTTCGACGAATTCATAAAGCAAGTGTGTAGCGAGAGTATGTTTGAGACAAATCCTTTATTTCACACACTTCAGCAATATTCGGTAGCACGAAGGTTAATCAAATATTAAAATTAGTCATTTCTACAGACTGATTAACAAAATGAAGTTACTTAAAATTCGCTTCAAAAATATATCCCGAATAGGTAAATTCTGCCACAAAATGACATCAGCCAGAAAAACAATGGAGACTAGGGAGACTTATAAAAGTTTGTGCTCGAAACGTCATCAGTTGATATTACTGTATAACACTGTGTGATTTACCAAAATAAAATTTTATCTATAGTGGAGCTGTACTCTATCTACCACAGTGCCCAAGTTTTATACTTATATCAATAGTGTTTCATTCTACTTCAGAACTATTCAAAGGTTTGAATATAAGGTGATACCCCTTGTTCTCCTCAGCTAATACAAATCCATCATAAATATTTATGACAGAGTCATTTAACTGATTGGTATTTATTATTCTAGGGGTACATAGCCTCCGTGCTTTACCACAGAAGTAATTTATTCAAATTCATATTGACATGTATCTGTTTGTTAGAAGATGAAGAACTAAATGTGTGTATAGTTGACCTTAAAGACTCTATTCACTTTTATCTGGGGTGAGTGATTAGTAATCATGACACCTTACTGAAATATCCTAATAAATTAGAATGAATGTGTCTAGATTGTAGTTCACTGGAAATCATGTGTTTTAACAGTTTAGCACCCTATCTATCCCCCATGGAGGGCCTTTTTACAGAGCTGAATCTAATTCACACACAGTGTGTGTATTGCAAGACATAACATAACTGATTTTCGAATTTAGAAATGAATAAAAATAATTTCAGTTAACTTTAAAAGAAAGCTGAGGGTTTAACAATTTCACACTATGTTATGTAACATTTTATATTCGCCTACTAATCCTATAATTATGCACCCCTTTCCAACAACTATTAATCTGTATGTGACGTTAATTGTTTTGCTACTTGACATTTAACTATTATTCTAATCACAAATATTTCAGTTGCATTTTATACTACTATTATTATTTCATGTGTTCATACTTTTGATGTAATTCCCTCAACGAATATAATTTCTTAAAAAGCCATTTATATATACGCGATTGAACAGCTTGATAATAAATTCTTTGAAAAGAGTCTCTAAGCTGAATATTGTGTTCTTAATGCTACAAGGGGAATTATTAAATTATTTACCAATAGTAACTATTGCCTAGAAAAGTGTAGGTAGTTACGTATACGACACTGCACACAGTGCCATATAGAAAGGAGTTGAGTAAATATGAAAAACCCACACTTATATAAGGTCATCTAAACATACTAAAAATCTATAATCACTCATTATTACTGATCTTTAGAGTTAGTTCAATTTATCGTGAACCAACGACTAACGCATTCACACTGGTCACTAACAAAGCACTTTGGAGTGAGCAGACTGATCTCGGTGCAGTGAAGTGTTAGTTGAAATCGAAATAAGACAGCAGATCAAGACAGGACCTGAAGCAGCTGATCTGTGGTTCTAGCCTTTGAATCTCACTGCAGTACTGAATCATACAATCGGAATATGGTAAGAATTTGTTGCGACTAAACAAGACTTTTCTAATAATCAAAATTGAACGAACTTCATTGATGATAAGGGTCAAAACTGCTTGACTAGAAATTCCATGCTAACCTGAGGTATCATTTAGGAAGTCATTGCTACAAACTAGAATAACACGATTGTCAGCTGTTTACTGACTGATTTGAATTGACCCATTAGTTACCTTTCAGCTTAATGACTACAAATGATCAGGCAATCATATTTCGATAAAATGTTTCAAACACTATAAGTATAAAACTTGGGCACTGTAGTAGAGTATAACTCCATTATGGATAAGATTTTATTTTGATAAATCACACAGTGTTGTACGGTAATATTAACTGATGACGTTTCGAGCACAAAACAACGCTCATAATCATATCAAGTTGATACCAAGTTGATACTTGATATGATTATGAGCAATAGTTTGTGCTCGAAACGTCATCAGTTAATATTACCGTACAACACTGTGTGATTTATCAAAATAAAATCTTATCCATAATGGAGTTTCAAACACTAAACCATTTTTTTACATCTAACTAAAGAATTCAGAAATGTTGTTCAAACAATATGGATACCACTTTCTGAAGAGAATACCATAAAACAATGAATGTAATAACTTGTATTTGTGCCTGAAATCTACTACCTTTCAATCAGTCGACTTTTCTTGTGGAATACGAATCGTCGGTACTAGTCGACCAGAAAATTTAAATTCAGCAGTGTTGTCTTCTGTAAGCTACACAACTTAATTTTGAAGCTGTCGTTGCCTTTAGCTGTCTAGACAATGAAAGCTAAGAAGTTAAGTCATTCAGCTTAGGCAACACAAGAACGCCAAATACATCCACTACAGCTAAGAATCTTTTTCATTATTTCAAAATTAAAACTGTGAGTCGGTGGCATAGCGGTTAGGACGCTAGCCGACCATGCATTTGGTCCGGGGTTCGATTCCCGGTCGGCGCACTCCTTTACCTCGCTAAGCCAGAAAAAAGCTGGTGAAGAGGTAAGGTTGGGCATGAGGCTAGCAACCCCATCCTAGCCACTAGCTTGAAGCACTATGTTCCACTGGGAACGTGAAGGAATAAAAAGATAAAAACTAAAATCTTAAGATTTATTGACCATGTTTGACTGTATCCTCGTGAATATCTATCTGTAAATACATCAATAGCCTCAATAACATAAGGAAACTTAGAGAAAGTGGATGCTTGTCTTCTTTCTAGCGAAGGGTAGTTCCTGTAAAAGATGACTAACACTTTTAGAAACTGATAACATTTGTTCTCACTTTCTTTTTAATGTATTTTCAGAGTATTTATCATTAAGCCGTCATCAGTAGTAATTCAGAGTGATATGGTCAGCCTGTTGGTTAAATACATTTAACTGGATAACCAAACCTTTCATTACGTAACTGCTTATAAACATTTAAAATAATATATAGCTAAAGATAAGTGAAAACTCAGGCTAAACTGGTTGATATCACTTACCTTGGTCTCAAATTGATACAGATTGAAGGAAAAATCCACACACCACTGAATTCCTCTTTCAATGCACTTCTGTCAAGATTTACAAATGCCAAACTAGATGTCACTACTGAAGGCAGGTACTGTCTGAAGAACCATTATGAGGAGCATTGAGTTATGTAGATCATTATCAACTTGTGTTCCTCATTATACTGCTTTGCATTGTAGACGTTTTGCTATAAAATGAGCTAACTTTAGAAACAACCAATCACATTAGAGAATATGAGTAGATATACAAATGTGGATAAATATAGAACATTAGAACACATTCTGTTGCATGTTTGTGTGTTTACTTGAATGTGCATATTTCCATCAGTTTTTATACTTGCCCATATAACCGTCCACTATTTTCATTTGCAAAAAAAATGTTAGTTGCTTCTTTGCTTGTGCAAATATGGTAAAGTCTAACAAAACACATAATCATACACACTAGAGAGCAGATGGGAAACAAAATCGTATCTTAA